GGAAAGTTGCGGATTGCCAGAGAAATGCTTATACAGTACAATGAAAGGCAGGACATTCACATCATACACATCCGTTGGCCTCTTCACGGAACCAGGCAAGTCTTATTACATCCCTGCAAGAGAATAAGCAGAATATCTCCTCCTCCACCACCACCACAATACAAAAAAATATTACTATTGTTTCTTCTTCTTCTTCTTCTTCTTCTTCTTCTTCTTCTTCTTCTTCTTCTTCTTCTTCTTCTTCTTCTTCTTCTTCTTCTTCTTCTTCTTCTTCNCCTCCTCCTCCTCCTCTTCATCATCTTCTATCTTCTATCTTCTAACTACTACTACTATAAATATAAAAATGGCTGTATGTATATGTTCCAGTATAACTCTGGAACGCCTCAAGCAATTTCAACCAAATTTGGTACACAGATGACTTACTCTCTGGAAACAAATACTGGGGTAGTGGGGAGGGTAAGACATCCCTAAAACTCCTCGGGGTGTGTGTTCTGTTAAGATGCAGCCTGTTGTGCCTTAAAATGGCTTCTACTGTGCAGTGCAGTGGAGTTGCCATGGTAACGGCTTCATAGTACTCCACAAGGGGGCTCCCTCTGGTAAGGGGGGAAAATCCAACATTAGAAATTACGTTTGGTCCGGACATTTTCACCTTATAAATAAATACCCGGGCAACGCCTGGTTATTGGCTAGTTTCTTTTAAAAATTAAAATCAATCAGGCCTAGGAGATTATCCATTGATGCCAACCTAACAATCTCCCTCATGAGATTGTTTTTCTTTAGTTTAATAGAAACTCTGTCTTGCCCCACTTTGGGGCCATCCATTAGCTGAGGCAGATCTGAAGATGCCAAATTTTCCATGAGGTGCTGAGCTACCCCTAGTAAGGTTGTTGTTTCAGAGTAGATGCTACAGATTCCCTCCAAAAATTTGGCATGCACAGTGCTGCCATTCAGCTATCTTCGGCCAGTTGGCAAGAGAAATATTTATGTAATAGAATCCTAATTTACCTTGCATCACATGCAAACATCTTAAGTCAGCTGAGTGCCAGATTGGATATTCTGTCGGGAAGAGGGCGTTTTTCTCGAACAACTTAAGCTCTCCACCTCTTTGCTGAGCTCCAAATGGCACTAGGATCCTCGGTAGATTCAGCATGGAACGGCAGAGAGGAGGACAGAGAGAAAAATTACAAAACGGAAATTGCGTAGGGAACCAGAACACAGAAATGAGTTGCAAATATATATATTTGTCTCTAGTTGAAACAAGACCAATTTTCCCTTGCTGGTGTTTCAGTTGGATAGAGAATCTGCAGCTCTCTGAGCAGATGAATTACTTCTGAAATAATTCAGATGAGAGTTTTCTCAACCGAGGTTTTTAAGTAGAATAGAGTAACAGAGTTGGAAGGGACCTTGGAGGCCTTCTAGTCCAACCTCCTGCTTAGGCAGGAAATGCTACACCACTTCAGACAAATGTTCTTCTTAAAAGAGTCCAGTGTTGGAGCATTTACAACTTCTGGAGGGCACATTTTTCCACTGATTAATTGTTCTAACTGTCAGGAAATTTCTCCTTAGTTCTAAGTTACTTCTCTCCTTGATTAGTTTCCACCCATTGCTTCTTGTCCTGCCTTCAGGTGCTTTGGAGAATAGCTTGACTCTCTTTTCTTTGTGGCAACCCCTGNCCCACCAAGCCACACCCACAGAACTGGTAGTTAAAAAAATTGAATTTTACCACTAGGTTTTGGGCTCATTTTTGGTTATAAGTGGAGGACTACCTGTAAGAAGTTTCAGATCTAAATAATGATGTGGCATTTTGCACAAACGGTAGAACAAAACTAGGTGACTAAAATAAGTTATTTTTGAGTCCTTTTCTGAAAAAAAAACCCTTAACTTTATTAGATATTTTGTTTATATCTGCCTTAGATCTGTATGTTGCCAGACCATATTTTTGGGAGCTGTTGTTGCTTGAAGAATTAACCCCTGTTGCCTTTTCACTGTGTTTTTCGTTTTACAAAAAAACCTGTTCATAGTACAGTATTTCAGTTTCATTTGAAGTATTATTGGATTGATGTTTCAAACTAAAGAAAGGAAGAATTTGTCAGTAAATTAGTAGTATTAGTAGTATATGTAGATATTTCATCCAATACTGATAAAAATTACAGACATTCATTGTATTTAAAACAAAACAAAACAAATGCTGTCGTCATAGAGGGGATTGCAAATTAACTCTGAATTTCAATTGCGCTTGGTGATTCCAGAGTTGGATTCCCTGATTTGTAAGAGAGAATAAAAACAATTTTTTTTGATTAGATATAAAAACCAGCCAATTTTTGTAGCTCCTATGAATAAATTAACCATCCTTATTTTCAGAAGTAGCGTAATGTCTATTTTATTAATATGAGCAATGCTTGAGTGTTGTTTGGCACAGAAGCCAATTTGCCTATTGTTCAAAAGCAGCAATTATAAAAACCTAGGAAGGAAAGAAACGGCCTTTTCTGCAGTCAATATTCAGAGACGCTCTTGATAAACGGGGGGAAAAATCCACTTCTGTAACCAGGCAGATGAACAATCAGCAAATTTCCAGCTCCCTGGCACCCATCATATTGTCTAACCTTGTGACAAATTATGTCCAGAAAGCAATCAAGGTCAATCAACATTAGAAAGTTAACGGGTTTGATCATAACTTACAAAGAGGATATTATTATTTCTTCTTCTTCTTCTTCTTCTTCTTCTTCTTCTTCTTCTTCTTCTTCTTCTTCTTCTTCTTCTTCTTCTTCTTCTTCTTCTTCT